GCCTTTTGCAAAAATTATGAGAATTGTTGAAATATCTAAATATCATAATATCAAGTGCATGATCCCGCGCGATGGCCTTAGTCCCTTGTCTTTAGTTTTTTTGGCGACAGACTTATCCGTAGTTCTGAACATTTTCTCGATGTAAACAATGAATTATTCTAGTAAACCCTCGTGTTCCGGACAATATGTGGATATGGATATTATGATATTTAGATATTTAGACAATTCTCATAATTTTTGCAAAAGGCTGTATTCATTATCATTATATTAATATATATCTTAATTTCCAAAGGTTCTGGAAGTACATATATCTATGGCCATTGTGATGCTTCTTACAAAAAGGGAATGACCAAAGAAGAGTGCTTTAAGTTTGTTTCAAATGGTAAAAAATATTTTTCCTGTAATTTCTATCATTGTAGAGTTCAAACACTAAAATGTGTATAATATAAAGACCACTAAATACTGCTAAATTATTCTACTTATATTGTTTTCTATTGTTTAACTAGTACTATTTAGTAGTAAATAGCACAAAGTGTTGCATTACATACATTTAGTGTTTGTACTCTATTAACATTGACAAAGTATAAACACTAAAAGTGTGAACTACTTTGCTCTACTTTACTTAGTCTCCTTTGCAGCCTGCCCTTTTGTCAGGCTTCCTGTAAAAGAAGGCTGTGTAGGAGGCTATACTCTACTAGAGTGAAGTCAAAAAACCGTGAAATAGATATTACACTAATACACCTTAGTACGCTTTAGTTACATTGTTTTCTTTTGTGTCTATTTAGTTTCATGAGTTTAATGACAAATTACAATTTATTTATGTAAACCTACTTATATTATATGCAACTATTACAGCGGAAATTGTTGCATCGCGACCTCTTTGTTTTGAAGTTTGTCTGGATTTTGTTCTCTCTTTCAATCTGAGGGGCGGAGCTTTTCGAAAACTTGTTCAATCATCGGCTGATTAGTATCAAGCTCCGCCCCCAAGTCGCAGAAAAACCTAAATCCCAAGTATTTCCTTTGAACATCGAAGTCGCGATGCAACGGTTTCTGCTGTAATAGAAATTAATATATTTTTTAATATGCTAATTATTATGTTAATGTATGTTGCAGCTGTTGCCTTGGCAATGTCACGTGATGGTTCATCAGGAGGCATAATACGCATGGCAGCAATCGATGCATCAGGTGTTGAAAGGCGTGTCATCCTAGGCAACGAATTGCCGACATTCTACGAAGGATAACWATCTCTACTGAATATTTATGTATTAATGTACATTGTTCTGTCGTAAATCTCTATGTAGTTTAAAATTAATTGAATTTAAAAACAATTAAAGTTGTTTTTGTATTGTATTTGGGCATGGRKCTCGTTGTGCAAKAYGTGGATTAAGCTATCCAYCCAAYAGMYATCGATTTTGTAAGGATTTTATCCGCTATATAAGGTTTTATCCGGTAGTTAGCGCTATAGTGAATGCACSGGACCTATGAAATTGTAGTAACTTCTTATATTGATTTTCSGTCGACAGCGTGCAACCTACCCATGATTCTTTGGGCGTATAGTCGTTCTATATTGATTTGCGTCTGATTARGAATCGAGCGTTTATAGATAAAGCGTAATTAGGTCGACAGATTCTACTAGCATTCGCGTCTTGTTCGCCTTTCCCTTCGGCGTTGTCCAAATGCTCTTCGTCAGCTTTAGGAATATCTATAAAAGATGGGAAAGTTGGGGACGGAACCTTTAACGTCGCCATGGCAATAGGCGGCCGCTTATCGTCCTGCGCGTTTTGCACAACAAGTGAAGATTTCTCGTCGMGTTTGTCTTGTTTTGGGCTCTTTTGATGAGATCKYTTTCGCTGTCTTTCAGGATTTAACGTATCATTCGCRTTCTGCGAGTGTTTTGRTGTTTCTCTGTAATKTTTTCTGGGYGAKAGTCTGTTTTTCTCGGGAAYGGTTCTGTTTGTAAGTTTCATTGTACTYACAATTGGCGGGAGGACTATTCCTTTAGCGCGCGCTTTCTGTTTGTTAGGAATTGAAGCGCGTTGACTTAGTGACATTGTTTGACCTTCAATTTGTGTTAAAAACAATTGAGGTTTKGGYTCAGATTTCTTCTTYAATTCTCCCTGTGCTGCGCCGTCCTTGCGCGGAGAAAGAGGMGGRTTGATCCCCCATTGCAAAGGCCTCTTCACCAAAGGTTGCATATTCTTCGCTAGATATTCAATGTAAGAATACCCTGCTCTTGTTTCGTAGGGCCTGTGCATCAAACTCTTCAAGAGRCGGTCAAGTTCTTTTTTCTTATCGGCGGTKACCATAYWTTCCGTATCYTTAGAAAGATGCGCGCGGTCCGACGGGTCCATATTCAAACGATGTACTCGTTCCTCRAAAGTTCTTTTATCTGCCTCCAAGGACTTAGTCTTCATATTTCTCTCGTGTTCAAGAACRGCGAGCTGTTTTTTYAAGAGTTTTTCGTATCGGAGATTCATTCGAGAGACATAACGATCCTCATTGGACCACACTGATGTCCCTTCAGCCATCGGTTGTAAACGTACTTCTTAAACGTGAAATTGTATGAAAGTCCTTCCAGTTAGAGCAGTTGTGGTATAAACGAAGTTTTCCTCTTCAAATTGAAACTTTCAGATCGTTTTTGACAGCAAATCGTTCCTCAATGTTGATGATTGCTATCAGTTGTGCAGAGACTCTTCCGAGGAACTGTTTTCTTCTCGCTTTCTATCGCCGCATAAAAGATTATTTCGAAATAAGAAAATAGTGTATAACTACACGATGTCTTAGCTATCTTCCGTGCTTAACAATTCGAGAGAAGGTTGTCCATACTTGATTACTATATGAACACTCTCTTCTCTGTTTTAGACCTTAGTACTTATGTTACGTGACTAAAATTCCTATGTTCTTACGATATGAGGCATATCACGCTATGTCGGAAACAACATTCCTAAGACTCAAGTCGATGAAATGGATACCTCACAAAAGACAAACTGGCAACAGTAAGGTCAAGATAGCAGGCACATGATTGGTACAGATTTTACCGTCAAACTGGATTTCTCCAATTGCTCTTTTTCTACCTCTCCCATCAATTTCATAAGTGCCCCCTCCCCCCCTCCTTCCCGGGGTGGCCTCTTTCCGACAAAACTTTCGCTATGGAACTTGGAAGCGGCAATGCAAACAGAAACCTATAAAACATTAGAAAACCGGAATCCAAATTAGTGACTTACGACACTTTACATTCTGAATCCAATTCGGTATAATGGAGTCCGGAAGTTGTGTGCGACACGGGTTCGCAAAGTACG